AAAAAAAAAAAAAAAAGCAAAAAAAAAGCAAAAAAAAAAGCAAGGAAAAATGAAAAAAAAAAGCTGCTTGAAGTGACGTTTCAGTTTCAGCGCGGTGTTGAGCACTGTAATTCCTGCAGTCAGGGCGGGCGGGCTGGGACCTGCACACCAGGTGCTGGATTTTTACCCAAAAATGAGATTTCCTGTGTGCCCTGAAGGCCCAGCCCCAGCCACGGACCTGTCCCACGCGTTTCTTAGGTTGGTTGTGTATCTGAGAGCATCTCATCGGCTGTGTGCATTCATTCTGTCACTGGTAAGACAACTGTGGTACTAAATGTCATTCAAACCAATAAATTATTATTATTATGTCAGAGCCGTGGCCGTGTGGTGCTGGGGCAGGGGAGGGAGGTGGGGTTAAAAAGCAGCAGATGGAAACAAGGTGCTGGTGCTGGCAGAGCCCCGGGGGGCTGGGACACCCTCTAAACCACCTGCCCCACCCAGAGTGTGTTATTTTATATACTATTGGTGTATATGTGTGTGATACAGTGCAGATTCTGGGTATTTTCTCTACAAAACGTGATGTGTGTACACATACACAAAGGCTAGCTGGTTCTTGGGATAGAGAAATAAGCTTTATGGAGGGGGTTGTTGGCTATTCACAGACAACTGGAACTGTGTAGTGGATAAATAATAGATAAAGTAATAGATAAAATGTGTGTATGTATGAGGTGTTCATGTGCACATTCATGTATAGATGTAGCACTCAGACATATTCAGTTTACAAATATATAAGCTAAATGTGTTTTGCACACCTGTGTATGCATAGAGACATTTTTATACTTTGTTTTCTAAAATATATGATTATATATTATATACACATGTGCATGCTTTATATATACACATAATTTATAACCATATTTATAAATTTAAGGTGAATATATTGCATATAGGCATACATATATCTGCATGCACATGTGTATGCATAATTATAATTATATATTTAGCTTGTATTTAAAGTATTTACAAGTGTATGTTACCCACACATTGTCACTCACACATACTTACCACCACAGGCACAGCAGAAGCAGGCAGAGGACAGACTGGGCTCCTTTTTGTGTTTATAGGTAGCTATAAAAATCGTTTTGTGTGCATGTATAATTAAGAATACTATTATAAATGGTATGTCATACAAGTATATAATTATTATCTATACAAAAGGCTGTTTATATGTGTGTGTATATACATGTATTTTAAATTCCTGGGTATATATTTTATACACACACACACACATATGTTCTGTATATACTGTTGTAATTATTGAATATACGTTTTGTAGATTCACAGGAGGGTGCCCCAGCCCTGGAGCACTGCCCTCCTGTCAGGGCTGGGGTTTTGGGGTCAGGGCACATGCAGGGCTCATGGTGGGGGCTGCTGGAGGCTGCAGACAGAGCTGAGGCAAATAACCTCACATTGGGTCATATATACAGGACACAGGAGGGGACATGTGCAGGATGCCTGGGGACACCTGACACTGCCTGGAAGACACATTCCTGGCAGCCAAAAGTAATGAAATGATGTGGGTCTAAACCTCTGCTGACATCCCAGCAGACATTTACTAAATGTCTACAGCACGAGCCTGGAGAGGGAGCTCTTCCCTCAACCTGCTGCACAGCAAAGCAATCCCCAAATGCTCCAGCTATTCCAATAACCCAAGAGAAAAATACCTTTACTGCAGAGATGAAGCTGCAGCACTGAGGGCTGGACAACCCACAGTCAAATGCAGAGTGAAAAAAATAGCAAGGAATGTAAAGCTCTGCTTGGGAAACTCTTAGAAAGCAGCAATATCGCACATCCTGGTATAAAGTGTTTATTTGAGACTTCACAATTAACACAAAGTCTTCCTGTCAATGCCTTTTTTTTTTTTTTCATACAGTCAATAAATTTGTATTAATCCCTCCCCCATGCATGATTGCTGTTTATTAATCTAAGCCTTTTTATTTTCATCATGAAAAAATAAAGCGTTTCCCCACCCTTTCACCTGTTCCCTGTACCAGACTGTGCTGCATTACAGAGGAGATGGAGAATGGCTATGCCTACTGCTGGGGGTGAAGTTACTCCATTATTTATTGATTTATTCTTTTTTTTAACAGAAAGTGTTAAATGAATCAATCACCCAAGAAAAATAAATATATCATAAAGAACCAGAAGCTCTGCAGTATCCCTTTTCTTGCCCTCCAGCCCAGTTCAAACACATCCTCTGCCCATGGCAAACCGCTCCGCTCACAGCAACGCCGCCGCCTGCACGTACAGCTGGGAACTTACTCTGGCAAAACCTCTTCCAAAGTACAGCCACAAGCCACAGGAGGTATTTTAGATGCCAAATTTTTATACCTAGGCAAGAGAGATCCAGCTGGAAGCCAATCACCTGCATTCCATTAATGGGCTTTTACTCAAGAGCTATTCAACCTTGTGCTTTTCGGGAAGTATCGGCTAAACACGTGTGGGCTCAGCCAGAGCCTGGCCTTGGGGAGAGGGGCAGGCAGTATGAATGAAGGGTGTGCATGTTACTCATGGCAGTGGAAGCAGAAAATGTTCTTGTATCAATGTCTCTTGGATGTGCATCTCAAATTATGCTGCTCGGTTCGTCTCGCAGTACTTTTGGCACCAGCCTCGCAAATCAGTTATTCAATTGCTCCCCCTGCCTTTTGAGATCTTCCTTGGAAGAGGGCAGAGGGCAAGGAGGCTTTCTCAGAACAGAGACGGTATTGGGTAGGCCGTGAAGGACAAGCCCCATGTTTATGCTTTATTGAAAGACTGTGCAAAAGGGAATACTGCATCAGAAACCGCAGACCATGTTTAATCAGTCCCCAGCCGCTGGATTGGAAACCCACTAACAACCGCTCCGATTGGTTCGTTTGGCTACTTTTTGTTGGTTTCTTTCTTTTTTTTTTTTACATAAATAATATAGACCGACAGTATAAACATTTCAGCAACCATTTCTAAAAGACCAGAGGAGCCCTTTTAGGAGCCAAGAAACAACTGCAGGATTCAAATTCCAAAAGTGTCTTTGGAGTCATCGAATCATCAGATTTACACGGCACCCAATGACAACAACATTCAGTCGAGCTCGATAGGACTGCTGTCTTCCTGACCCTCTTCTGTGTCATCATCTTCCCCAGTTCCCATCAGACTGTTTAAAAGATTTCCTAGAATAAAATAAAGGACAGGCAAAATCATTAGTTTTACATTCTCATCTCAAAAACTTTTAACTAGTTTTTCATCCTGCTACAGTACAGATTTCTGTAAAAAAAAAAACAAACCAAGAGTTTGAAGTAGAAAAGTCTCACCAATACATCAGTAATTCCACACTGGTTTCCATTAAGAATATTGATTTGAGAAGCTGTACACTGATACTGTTCCTTCTCTAAGAATATACTGGAAAAGCCCAAAGCCACATATTTATGTGTTACATAAATACAGAGGGGAAAAAAAAACCAACCAAAAGAGGAAAAACACATCTCCAGCAGTGAAACAATCAAAAAGCAGCCACAGTCTGCATCATGCTGTAAAAAATTGTCTGAAACTCAGAGGTACTGATTTAAAAGTGCCTGAATTGCTGAAAAGCAAATTACATATGATAAAAACATGATGTTCATGTTTTTCATCAAATTTTGGCTACCAGTGAACTGATGTTTGTAGGTAAAGCTTCAAGTCACTTAACAAAGAAGCTTAATTCTCAGGGAAAACATTAATTTGATTCACATTTTATTCAAGAGCCAGGAAATGAAGGCTGAATTTCTCTATTCCATTTTGGTCCTTGTAGAAGGGCAGTATTAATTTCAGAACTTCCTCTTTGGGCACATTCATGTTGTATCAGCACTGATTAGATCTCTACCAAAGCCCCATACTTTGTTTTAGGAAAATCAGTCACTGAATTCTGAGGAAATTAAGCTTTAACACCAGGAAATTAAGCTTTAACACCAGTAAGATGCTTCTTTACATTAGGAAGCTATACCATAATGTCAGAAATTAACCATAAGAGCCTTTTTAGTGCTTCTCCTCAGCGATGAGAAGTCTACAAGCTCCCCCAAACAACTTTCACATGCAACCCATTCATTTTGCATTCCACAGCAGGGGCTGCTCCTACAGGCTATGAAAAGAATTATAAATTCCTTAGAACAGATTATCTGTTTCCAGCACAGGTGTTTTATCCAGGTCACTGATCAAAGCCTGGAGGTACCTACAAGCAGAGCTTACCTAGCAATCCCCCATAGGACGAGGTCTGCTTGGGCGGAACTCCGAAGAAAAGCTGTCCTATTCTATCTAGGTACTGTAGGGACACAAGGTGAAAAAAAAAGTCAATTCTTTCATTTACAGGTGGAAATACTATGGGCAGAAGTCACCCACACAAGGTAAATCACCAGCTCTTGTCTACAAAGCTGGAGACAATCAGCCACCATTTCACTAATTGAGGGAGTTAAATCCTGTTTTTGAGTAACTCACCTCATTATACATGGGGTCTCTTTTCAGCGAAGGTTGATACTGTTCACACAATACTGTAAATACTGTTAGTTTTCCTCTAGAAAGGAAACAACCAAAAATGTCATCTCAGTTAACAACTGAAAAGGAAACCAAGAATGACATGACAGAAATCAGACTGTACCCATCAACTGCCAACAACAGAAACCAGATGAAGTTTAGCAGTGGTTGCACAAAGGGTGGACCCTTCTCTATCGAAGGATGTTTCTGTGTGTATGTTGTAAAAACAACTGATGCGCTGGTCTTATTTTTTAAGCAGAGAAATCTGAAAAAGGAAAGAGAATGGGGCAAGTTAAAAACAAAGGACAGAGAAATGGTTTCACCACAGAAAAAGGAAAGCCAAATTCTATTTCACTTGTGCATAGAGGCCATCTCAGGCTTGAACTGATGGCAAAACACAACTGGTAGAGATGGAGATCTTTGGCTTGGCCATCAGCTGAAGAAGGGGAAAATCACTACTAGAATACACTGTGGAATAGGCAGGTTGGAAGGGAAAACAGACATTAAATATTAATAAAATGAGTTTAACGAGGATCTAAGCAGATTGTACAGTATGGTTACTAGAAGAGAGCATCAATTTTCAAAATATGGAAAGATTGGTTACCCTGTAATTCACATTAACATGATATTCCATCTACTGGTCCAGGATTTACTATGCTGAGTTAAAACTGAATTAAAAAACATTAATTAAACACATCTCCTTTTAGTATGTATCTGTCAGGATTTGTTGACTCTGCCATTCTATTCCACCTCAACATAATGTGGCATCAGGACCACTAATAGCTTGACACACATGCCTTAAAGTCTTATAATAAAGCTGTACTTCGAGCTCCCAAGCCATTTGTCCCCAACAGATCAATCCCCCAAACAGATCAAATCCTTGTTCAGGTCCAGTTAATTTAATCTCTGCAAGTCCCATTGGCCTAACAGACCTTTATCTGGGACAAATGCTGACAGCAAGCACTAGGAAGGCTGCCACAAGCCATCTCATTTTTGATGGCAGGCTGGCCTCTAATTCTGCACTCTTACATGTGCAAGGGCTTGGGGCTGTTTTGCCTCACTGCTAGCAAGGAACTGCAATTATTTTCATTAGTGAATAAACTACCATGTAAGAGGATTTAACACAGTATTTTACATACAGTAAAGGATGCGGTAGAAGCGCCGTATAAACACTGAAAAACTAATCTTTTAACTTCTCCACAGAATTTCTCCCCATAAAATTGAGTCCTGCACATACTGGATTTCCATAAAGGATTTGCTATTGCTCAAAATCACAGCAATCTATAGCAACCAGCTATGGAAAGCAGGACAAATCTGACATGACAGCTCACTGCTGCCAAAAGAGAGACAAACTTGCTCTCACCTCCTCCCTCTCCCCCAACACCTACTCTCTCCCTGACTCCCTGCCACACAGTCCTATCTCCACCTCCTCCTCAGACTCCTCCATGAGCTGCTTTCCCTGCCTGAAGAAGCCATCAGCTGATTAAACACAGTAAAACTGGCTTTGTCAACCTTCATTCTACATGAGCTCTGCAAAAACACACAATAGCTTGCATTCCCACCTCCTACAACATAAATGCCTAAAATGAGAGCCAGCAGCAACTCTGTCAAGGCAAGAGCCATCAAACTGCTGCTCACAGACCAGGCTGACCATGACAAATTGCCTCTTAGGACCTGAGTGAGAGCAAGTTCTGTGCTAAATACAGGGCCTGCTTGAGTCCAGTATTTGTAAGAACACAGAGATAAGCCCTAAGTAGACATAAAGTGGTGTTAATAGAGATAATTATTGTGCTTTCAGGGTTAAACAGATTACATTCATTCTTCAGGCAATTAACATAATTTCAGGTTTGACCTTAATACGCTATTTTACTTTTTTTCTCTGCAGTCTGACGAATTTAACACCTGAGTTTACAGTTTTCTCCTGTTGCTGTTCTGGCCAGTTTCACAGTTTCTTGTGCAAAGGCTGTGTGGTTAAATTAGATTGGTCCCACACATAATGTTATCTCAGCAAAATGCTTCAAAAGAAGTTTAACACCTACTGTAGTACTGCCTGAGCTACAAACATGTCCACCTCACTGCGGTATCCGCGGGACGAGGAGTATTCCACCAGCATATTTGCACAGCCCTCACCATCTGTCGAGTGCAAGAAGTGATACCGAGATTCACTATAGTTTTGCTCTAGAAAAAGAAAAAGGAAAAGGCTTTTAAGAAATCAGTTCAGTGTACCTGAACATAAAAACAAATTTATTAAGCTTGTACTTTGTTAGCTGGCAAAAGAACAAGAGTTATGAGTGTGGTATATAAACAAGATAATTGGTAAAAGGTCTGTAAGCTACAGACAAATTATAAAGGGAGATAATAATAAATATTACCCTAAGTACATTTGAACAACTGATATTAAATGCAGTTTACTCAATTACAGCTACTGCTGGCTTCAACTTTGGTCATATCATTTCATCTAAGTGAATGCTGACACCTGATGTGCTATCACCAGTGTTTAGGACAGGAATCAAGAAACTCCATTATTAGCCCATGTGCACCATGAAGTCAAATAGCACATTCAGCATTCTTCTTTCATTTCCCATTTTTAGCTTAGCACACTCTTGCTACCAAAACTAAAATCACTTCCATATGCTGAATAGAACAGCAATTATACAGGAAAAATGGTGTAAGAAATGGCAATAACTTGTTAGAACCTGAAGCAAGGGACTGTGCAAAATCACTGCAATGACAAAACTGGATAGCTGCTGATCTTTTGAATTTCAAAGCTTTCTTTTAAAAATCCTGGCCTTTTGTGGTGAAACTCAAAAGGCTACAGACTAAGAAAATGTAGGCATCTTGCTCTTCAAGAAACGGGGAGCAGACGGCTACAAAATGAGGACTTTTACTTTCAGAATGTAACTGTTTCTTATCCTAATTGTAGCAGCCTCTAGCTTGAATGCTGTGAGAAAAATCCTCCCTTTGTGGCTGGCAGCAGCCATCAGGCTAGCAGAAATCCCAGGAAAGCAGCTAGGGAATTGGCTATGGCACGCAGAGAGGCTGCAACATTGACCATTATTGGGTCAGAGTTGTTACATGAAACCACTGTCATCACTTGGACGCTACTGAAAAATGTAAAATAAACAATCATCTTGCAGTTATCCATGAGAAACCACAGAAAAAATGGCATGTATTCAACTGTTCTCAGTCACCTTTGTTATGTTTTGAACACAAGACTGTAAATACTGGCTATCATCCACAAGTAAAATAATTACTAATAGCATTTTGTGTTTCTCTTACATCCCATCACAAGGGATAAAATAGCTCATAAATCAAAGGCAACAACATTCATTTTGAAATAACCCTGCTAACCAACTTCTCAAAAAGTACTTAATTACAGTCCAAAGACTGTTTTGGATGCCAGGTGATGTATTTCAATCTTTGTCATGTTTATGCAGGATTTAAAAACAAAAAACCTGGCCAACAGAACATCTTTGCTCCCTGGCAATTTTCCTCCTAATGACACAATCAAACTATGTCTGAAGGACCAACCTGCCTTTTACAGAGAGTCTTACAGCACTTGTGTTATGGATTTTGCACTAATATAGAGCTAAAGACCCCTTTTTTTTTTTTTTTTTCCTGTAGCATTAAGAAGACATTAATGCAAAAAACAGATAATAGCAGAATTCAATCAATCATTTCCATCTCGGCTTCCTTAGATTATTCCCAAAGCAGATCTCTCATAACACCTTGCTTTCAACATTTTCAAATGAAAACACAGAAAAGCCAGCTGATTTTTCTTACCTTTCCACAAGGTAATAGCTAGTAACTGGTGTAGTTTTGGATGTCCAAGTTTTCCTGATCCCCCACTGGACCATTTTAGTGCTCTGGATACGAAAGCCACTCTTTCAGGGGAATTTGGATCCATTAAACTAAACAATTTAGCCAAGTTTTCTAGAAGCAATAAGATTGAAAAATATTTAGCACTAAGAAAAGTAAGATGATCTGTTGCTTCTAATGCATCTCTAAGATCCATCTTCAGGACAGGCAGCATGCCCACAAAGTCATGAGGAACCCTTCATTGTCTAATGAAGTTTCCCCCCATCCATTCCTACGGGGAAGGTAGCCCTTAGCCATGTTGGGAATGTGTCCAAAAAGGATTGCAGTTTTCAAGACTATTAAAAAGTCACTGTGAAGGGAAAGCACAACAAATGCCACCAAACCCAGAGCAGAGGTCACCTCACCTAAAAGATCTTCTGCTACTTTTGCATCCGACTTCTCCAGAGACTCCAAAACCAGCATGGACAGGTCAGCAGCACTGTTTTGCTACAAAACAGACACATACTGGCAGTGATGAATGTATCAGGGCATAAAAAGAAACATCAACCAAAATTCTGGCAGCAGCAGGTTTGCTTTTATCAACATCTACAGCTAGGGCACAGTATCAAGTCTCAGCGTCCCTGATAAAAAAATTACAGCAATTTGATGGCATCAAAGAGAAGCCTCCAGGAAAGCAGAACACAGGCATTGTTTGGATGCTCACAAACACTACTGCTGCATGTTCCAGCTTGGCATAATCCTTCTTTGTGGAGAAAGGCTCAACAAAGAGATAAAACAAAAGATTGCAAAGCAATTACCCCAAACATTTACCACTGAGAATTTACCATTTGTCTCCCAAAATCTTGGGAATAACGACCCCCTGCCCCCAAGTCATACACACAAAACTAGTGACTTACCTGATTATGACTGAAGAACAGTAAAGCCCCTGAATACATTAGCTCTCTTGCTTCTGCATGTTTTCCTTGTGACATATACCTGAAAAAAATAGCAATACCATGATAAAAATTACCACTAGGTTAGTTGTGTATGCTTAAAGTTATTTAAAGGATTTAAATAACTTTATTATTTATTATAAAGTTATTTAAAGGATTAAAGGATTGCTAAAATTTAAAATAAAGACAAGGGATTTGTTTTTAAATCAGGTTAGTTTCAATAATGATGTAGCTTGAACTGCAAGCTGCAATTAGTTTTCAGCTCGAGACCTGGTGGAATAAAACAAAGAATATAAGAATGAAAATGGAAAAAGCTACAAATGTGTTTGGGGCTAGAAAAAGAAAAGGGAATGAACCCCAGACTTCAACTGAGCAAAAGATGCCAAGGTACTGAGCCTCTACCAAAGCCATCCCAGTCAAACAATTTTTGGAATACCTCCTGGAGAGCTCACTGGCCCTTCCACTGATCTAAGTTTCTCTGACCCCTCTGCCAGGGGACATCAGCCTGTCCTAATCCTCTGCTGAACCACAGGAGCTCGTCTCTCAGGGGTTTGACACTGAGATAAGCACAGCCAGCAAGATTCACCATGAAACAAAATGTAATTCTTCAAAACACACCTTCTACCTTTCTCACTTACGACTTAACACAGAAATAAGGAATTAAAGAATTTGCTCCCAGTGGTTACCCCAGGATCTCTTTCCACAGAGCTGTGATTGCAGCCTCCTGCACATCATCCTGTCAATTAACTACAGCTCTTGGAGAGCCACAGCTCGAGCTTATGAACACAGCATTTCCCATAAAGCAGTTTAGGTGGGGCAGAGTTTCCAAATTCCATTTCTCTGAACTGCTACTCAAAAAGTCAGTGTTCTCAGTAGCTGATTTGCTCATATCAGCAGAGATAAGTGGCAGCTCTACCCCTAGCACCTGCAGTTTGGTTTGGTCTCTGTGACACACCTGGGCTGTGTCACCCCTTTCTGTTCCTGGGGCTCAGGGCAGCCCCCAGGCTGTTCCAAAGCCCAGGAGTGCCTGTGGGTAACAGAGGGGTTGGTGGTTCTGGGGGTGAAGGAGTCAGGGGGTGGTGGGACAGCAGGACAGTGTGGCCATGGAGGGTCACAGCAAACAAAGGAATAACCAGAGCATCCCAAACCTCTTGTGATGTGCCCCAGATTCCTGTCACATGTGTGTCCACCGGGGACAGGCCCTACTGGTAACATCACACAGACAACAAACAAGGGAGGAGACACTCCTCCCATCCTCTCATAAACTCTAAGAAACCCCAAGGTCTTTTATCCAAAACAGAACTGAAATAATGGAAGGCAAGACAGCAGTGCTTTGAAACAATCCTCAACAACTTGGATTTGCAATCACCATGGTAAATGTGAATCAAATGAATCTGTAGCTCCAACATTTTTATAGTTGGGCTCCCATCCAGGTTTGCTTCTAGGAGTTGGACTCAGCATGGATCCACTTCCACAAATTCTACGTCCAGTAGATTCACAATGCTATAAGGAAGCTCATAATCTAAGAATTATTACAGAAGATACTAAAAGATGCTGAAAACAATTTTATGATATAAAATATATCTTAAAGAGCTGGGGATTTTCAAAGAACTGTTATCAGAAAAGTTTCTTAATAAAAATAAATTGATGACATTGCTCTAAATGGAATTTAAAACAAGAGAAATCCTGGAACACATTATTTATAGCAGAAAAAATGACCTACAAGTATCAGGGAAATATAAATGGATGTAACAAGGATATTACACTTTGAAGAGTGACTCAGTTACCAAATCATGAAGAGAGAAGAGTTCAGTCCAGCCAGCCTGGGGAGTAACAAACACCACCAGCTCAGGTGTGTCAGCTCAGGGTAGCTCAGGGTTTGGCAGGAACAGCAGTTTTCCACCTGCTCTATGGATCTTGGAGGGATAATAAGTCTGCAGGAGGCAGGCTTATGGTAATCTTTCCTCCTCCACTTCCCCTCCTCCACTCTAAAATACATCTCAGTGCATGAAACTGAGTCAGGATTTCAAGTTTACCCTTTGACAGATGAGACAAATGTTTCATAGGACAGTGTGTTTAAAAGGAATAAGCACTAGCTATCCCAATCACAGTTCCAGAGCTCAGGTCATCCCAATCTGCATTAATGTGTCTGAAAAGATGCTGATTTTTATCACATTTTACAGAGGATTGACAAGACTACCCAGCCATGTAAATGTCACCTTTTCATTTAACTGAACACATCCTTTCACTTGTATTTAAAATAGAAAAGGCAGGATCTTTGATTCCAAATTAATTCAGGGAGGCTTGAGTATGTGAGTTAATATATCCAGAAGACTGGAGAAGTGACCTCCTGAGCTAAGACTTCTCACACCACTGCAGACACCACATCACATAATCCCTACTATAAAATAGGCCAGGCTTTGTCTTAAATTTAGATTTATTCTCAAATACAATTTAAGTCTTAAGGCCTGGATGGTGCCTTGCTGATCCCATCAGAGGGGTTATGGAAGAACAAACTGATTTACTGTGATGGTGCAGGGCAGGGCAGGCTGTCTGATGTACACTGGGAACACAAGTAGGATTATGCACCAAGGACTTTCTTCCCCACTTTCTACCAAGACTGCTGTTTTTCTGTGCTTACCCATAGGCCTGTTCTCATCCTAACACAAATGAGGTCTGAGGATAGGAGACAAAGGACAGAGAGGGTGGTGCCCAGCTTTGGACCTCTCACTTCAAGAAAGACCCTGAGATGCTGGAACATGTGCAGAGAACAGCAGTGGAGCTTGTGAAGAGTCCAGAGCATGAGTCTGATGAGGAGCAGCTGAGGGAGCTGGGGGACTCAGCTTGGACAAAAGGAGGCTCAGGAAGGACCCTTCTCTCTACAACACCTGAAAGGAGGTTGGAGCCATGTGCTCTTCTCCCAGGCAGCAGGTGACAGGATGACAGGAAATGGCTTTAACAGGAGGTTCAGGTCTGACACTGGGAGAAATTTCTTCACAGAAGGGGTGGTGAAGCATTGGAACTGGGCCCAGCAGCCCAGGGAGGTGGTGGAGTCATGTTCCCTGGAAGGGTTCAAGAAACAACCAGATGTGGCATTTAGTGCCATCGTCCAGTTGACAGGAGATGAAAACCAAAAGTTGGACCTGCTGCCATCAGAGGTCTTTTCCAACCTAATTGATTCTGTGAAGCCATATTTCCATCCTGTCCTCTCCCAGTAGAACCACAAGTAAATAAAGCTGGGACCAACTGAGGAATCCCCTACAACAAACACCTTCTGTGCTCCTGCAAGCAAGGGATGAGAGAAAGGGTGACCCCTGCAAGTTGCAGTGGACATGAAAAGCTAAGCCTAAAAATGCTTTGCAATAAAAACAATTTCCTAATGACAAAAGAGACAGTAGTAACACTTCTGAACAAATGCCCAGGCCTACTCTACTTAGTCACTGTCACGTACACAAATACTACACCAAGTGGAATTTATTCCAAAAAAGCTCCTCCGTGCAGGCGATCCTGGCCAATCTGAGAGCTGCCCCTTTCGGACCCTGCACCAGGGTGACCGTGCCGTGCAACAAAGTAGCCCCATGTCCCGGCTGGGCAACAATCAACCTTCAAACCCCGAATCCGTCACTGCGCGGCTCCTGACATTTACACCGAGCTGGCAGAGCAGCGCCTGTGCGGGGCTCAGCTCCAGGACGGGCCCGGGACACGGGGCGAGCCCCGGCCCGAGCGCCAGGGGAGACAACCCGAGTTCATCCCGCTGTTCGGGGGGCTTCACTCTGCCTCCAGGGAACGTGGGGCCACCGAGAGGCGTTGGGGGACGGGGGACCGAAACTCCGCTCTGCCCGTGACCTCTGGGCACCGTGACGCAACACCCCCCGCGCGTCACCGGACAGTGGCCGGGCCAGCGGGGCACGGACCGGGCCGGGCGCGGGGCTGGCCTCCAAAGGCCGGCGAGCAGCGGCTCCCCCGCTGGCCCGAGGCGCTGACTGAGCCGGGGAAGGTGACGCGGCNCCCTCGAGGCTCAGCCCGCGCGGCTGCGCGCGGCGCCCTAGCGGTAACGGCAGCGAGAGAGGAACCCCCGGGACTGGAGCGGGGTACGACCGGCCCTGGAGCGCACAACAGAGCAGGAAACTGCAGAGTAATGTTAAAAAGTAACAAAAATCAAGGAATGATTGATGGAGCACCGGTAATCAGACTGGGTAAGGACTGCTCTGGCTCAGGGATCTAGGCAAGGCTCAGAAACAGGGGTTAAACCAAGCCCCCCCCTTCACACAGCTGAAAGTCAGCCAGCAAGGAAGCACTTTTTTCCCCCAAATAAAAAAAGCTGCGCTTTTTTCCCAAATCTCCAGCTCTGATCTTTATCTACCAGCCACACGCTGCTTCTGGACCTGCCCTTTAAAGCTTTGTGACCCTGCTCTTTGCAAAAACCTGAGTGAAATCCACCCCCCGGCCCCAGCTCAGGCCAATGTTGAAATCACAATGTTTCCTCACTTATTTAAGCAGCTGGTTAAAAAAAAAAAATGCAGAAAAGAGGCTTTATTTCTTGTTTCAAGTATTACATGCACCTTCAAAAATTAAAACTCTTTATTTAAACATCTCAATAGCATCTTGTCAGTTTGGAGGCAGCAAAGAATAACAGACATTTTGAAAAGCATTTACAAAAATACATTGCACAAAGTCCTATCTTGCTTTTTTAAAAATAAGTTAGTGTTATTCAAAATATTCCCCCCCAGCTACCTAATTTCAATTTATACAGGATAATTCTAATTTTAAATATGTAACCTATAATATGAAAACACCTGTACAGTGTCATCTACTCCTCTGCGTAGGCCATAGGTTCTGTCTCTAGGACGAGTGAAAAACAGTTCTTCACATGGAGACTTTTTGTATTTCAAACATTCGAGGACTGTTGTGCAACATACATAACTCAATTCAGAAAACCAGTCAGCAGGTCCATGTGGTAACAGTTCTGTGTAACTACAAAATGCACTAGAACAGCAAGATAAAAATTCTGCATACAAGTGAATTTCAGGAATCTTTTCTGAAAAGGATCTTCAAAACAGCAAGGCTAAGGGAGGGAATAAGCAGTTTCATCTTGTTCTACGTGGAAATGTTGTTTCCAAGAGCAACTCTACTCATCTGGTACCCGACTAAAGCTGGTGGGGAGGATCAGGAATGCCCGTGTTTGCACACAGCAGCGCTGAGCTCGAGTCCCTCTTGTAAATGTGACGCAGCAAGAATTACTTCAGGCTTGTTCTCCACACACTGAATTCTCACAGTACATTTATGGAATATAACAATCAACCAGTCTAAGGAATTCTTGTCCCAAAGAGATCACTTTTGCCAAACTAAGGTAGTTCAACTGCTGTACAGCAGTGTTTACTGAGCAATTCAGCAGGCTTATCAGCTCCAAGCCAGTCAGTCAGTACATCAAGGTCGATTTGGGATTGACACTAAAAAAAGAACAAACTGGCCAAGTTGCCATGGTAAAAACCCTTAAAATAACTTCAGTTACTTAAAGTTATCCCTGACTTTTAGAGCAATTTGCAGCCACAAATTACAGTAAAGCATTCTCAGTCGCTGGTGTTTAAACTGGTTTTGGTTGTGTTAGCTTTCCCTGACAGTAGTATTTATTATATTCAATATGTAGCAAAGAAGCCCTTTTGGAGCCACCAAAAAGGTCAAAACCAACTGTCAACTCAAAGACACCTTTAGCCACAGTCAGAGTTCAAAATGTACCACAGTTTTTGGCTTATGGTGCCAAGCTAGCAGTTAAGTCCTGGATAAAAAAGAACAGATTCCTAGTTGCAGAAAGTGTGGTTTATTCTTTAAAAAAAACCTATACATTCATTTGTAATAAAATATGTATCACCTGTTTGCCAACTGGGCTTTATGAACCAGAGCTGTTTGCATGCATTATTTCTCTCAGCATGGACACAGAAATATGAAGCAAACTGGCAATTACAAGCTGAGCCTTAGAGCAAATAAAAATTGGGGTTTATACATTTCTGCTGACAGTCTTCTGCCTTTATCAGAGGATCAATAGTTCTGCAGTGTGCATCTTGCATCCTCGTCCTTTACAGATTCCAGTGTTGTAGGCTTCCCAGTATATACAGATTAGGAACAAAATGTACAAAGCAGCCACCCCCAGCTGTAGTGTGGATTACTCGGCAGGTTTCCCGTGCACTCTGAACCGATAAAGGCAGGTGTACTCTGCATGGCCCCAGTTAGAGAAAATCCTCAGCTCCACTATTTGGAATGCGTCTTCATTTTTCTCCTGGAGAAGGAAAAAGCAAACAGACAAACCAGTGTCAGAGTTCTGGCATCAACAGCTGCAGCTTTCTTAGTTATTAATGACTATTGGTACTTGCAGGAACCTAAGTTATACCTTGCAAATTTTCTGTTCCTTTGAACAGAACCTTCCTTGCCTTATAATTATTTGTGAGTCTGAAGCAGCAATAGACTCTTCCCATGTTTAGCAACTTCCCACTATTTGTATCCACATAGCAACAAATCTTCCTCCCTTCTCTTCTATTTAGGCCATAGGTTTTGAGGCAGAGGTAGATACTTTTTACCTCAGGTCCTACAGTGCCCAGGTGAGAATAAGGCCTTTTCCCTTCACTGTTCATTGCACACAAGTGTAGAAAATAAAAGTAACTTTCTCCTAACACTTTAAATCTTATAATCTAGACTTACCATCACTGGAAACATCTGCAGTGGTTCCCCATCTTGATCATAGACATACTCTCCTAGAAGCTTCCCTTCTTCTTGATATTCATCATCCAGACCCTATAACAACAGGATAAAGATTTT